AGTGAGGATCAGAAAGAGAAAAAATGTTTTTTTGGTAAGGAAATATTTCACTAAAATTCATATACTTGGAAGAAAATGAAACCATTGGGGTAAAAAGTTTTAATAGGATAATTTCTTAGATTTGAGAGCTAAAAGGGGAAAAGAGCAGAGAATCAGCAAATGAAGGGAGAGGACCCAAGTGTTTGTTCATTCCTCACTGGACATTTTGAAACAGTGGTTTCTTAAAAAGATGTAAAGGTTTGTCTTTGATTTCCTAATAAAACTGAACACTTTGTTAAGCATCTCTGTGTGTGTGAAACAAATCTGGTTTTCCACCTGTGATGCATTCTCTCTCAATATCCAACTGGCTGAATCCAGGCACCAGAGAAACAACCAATTGGCTGCTTTCCTTGCCCAGGTACAAAAGGACACCGTGAATTTGCTTTTAAAACACAACAACCCAGTGCTATCAGCAGGGCTTTTGGGACCAGCACTGTATGATACTGTTTTGCTGCCATCATGAAACCCTGGCCCAAAGGATGCTGCAAAACCCATAGGATTTCTGCCAGGGTGATGTCAGGCCCCAGGTAAGGTCCAGAGTGAGAACCTGTAGGTTCCTGTAGGTTTTCCTCAGGCATAGCACCCATGGGTACTTCCTGGTCTCCAAGGAAAAATCATTGATATTGTCAACAAGGTCAGTCTGGCTGCAGCATCCTTCCCACATCCAAAACATTCAGCACATCACGCAGTCCAGCACAGGAACAAGGAACAGCAACGTCCTCTAAGGTACATGCAGGAGTTATGCAGCTCAATTGAACCTTGGGAGTGCATTCCTGTGAAATCTGCTGAAGAGAATTAATCCCTTCGGGGCAACACCAGGATTATTCCTCTGAATTCTGTACTTGTATCTGCTGTGGATAAACTCTAAATTAAAAAAACATGCAATAATTAGAAATAGGCCATTTCAGGTTTGTACAGCAACTACTTTATTATTTTCAAATGCAAATGTTTGCATTGTTTGCTATTTTACAATTTTACAAACTAGGTATAAAAGACCATAAATAAATGACATAAGTTATGTGTACCTAAAATTCATGGAGGGGGGGAAAAATTACAAATTAAAACAAAATAGAAAAATCTATATATCTAACCCAGAGATAGTTCAAATGCACGAACCAAGAAATGCTGTTAGATTTTTCAGTATGAACTAAATTATAATATGCCTCATACATTCTAATTTTAACCACAGTCCTTGCATATTCCAACATACTTGCAGTGATACAAAAAAATAAATGCACTCTCTTTTTATTTGTCTGATTAGTATTTCAGATTTTTTTTTTCTTTTCTGGTTATGAAAATGTCACATAAAAAAAAAATACTGCTTTTTAAGTCCTGTTTACTGGTTCCTTACCAGGTTTTTGTATTTTATACATATATATTTTTAATACATAAGATCCATCACAAAATTAGCACAGCAAGAAACCCGGACAAACATCAACCAGTGGTGGTGTGTGAGTAGAACAATTTCTTAGCACACAGAGGGTTGTGGTGTGAGCCAGGCTGGGGGTGACCTCTCCCCATCCTTGTGCTCCAGCTCTGTCTGGAGCAGCCTGTGGCCACCCACACCTGGCACAGTTGGCACCTCCTGGTGCCCTGCCCATGCCTGGCCTCAGCCAACAGCATGGTTGACCTCACTTCCCTCCCATGGCCCTGCTGCTCCTCCAGAGCAGGCAGAATTACCACTACTGATGAGCTCAGAGAGTCAACGAGGAGGAAGCAGAAGCAACTTCAGGACATTACCTCACAGCTCCGGCCAAGGCTGCTGCTCCCATAATGCAGCACATCCAACTGCCCCACGTGTGCCAGAGTGAGCCCCTGTGCCATGGCAGGTTGCTGAGCTGCTCTGGTACCACGGCAGACACCAGTCCCTGGCAGCCAGGGAGCAAGTGGGGAGCATCACCTGCCCTGCTCCAAATCCTCGGCGGCCCTGCGCTCCCTGGGTGCCAGCACTCAGCTCCACCCCAGCTACCTAACGCTGCACTAAGGTGAATCCTCCAAGCACAGAAAGCTTTCCTAGGTAGTACCAGGAAGTTGCAGCAC